AAGGGCGGGCGGGTCCCGGAGGTGAGTGCGGGATGTGGTCTGCGTGCGGACGTCGGGAGGGGCCGCTGCGGGCGGAGCGAGCCATTGCCCGGCTCATCTAGCTCTCTCTTTGACTGCGAAGCCCCTCCCTCCGCGCGCATCTGCTCCCGAGTCCCCAGCCCCGTCCTGAGGCGTGCAGCCCCCGGGGTCGTGGCTAGGGGCGCAGGGCCCACAGAGGGGAGGTCCGGGTCGATGGCGTAGGCAGAGTTGGAGCCCTGGGTTGCCAAAGCGTCGCAGCTGAGAAGCAGGAGCCGAGGCTAGTACTGGCGGGGCGGGGCGGGGCGGGGCGGGGCCGAGAGCGAGCATCTCCATCCTCAGTTTCCTCGACTTGCGGCAACGGCACAGCTGGGTGCAGTTCGGACCTCCACGCCTCAGCGAAGGACTGCTGTCCCCCAGGCAGCTTCACTAACCCGGTGCGGAGCACTTGGCGACGCCTCCCTGCCCATCTCATGTCTCTCGGCTCATCGCTGCTCTGGGCACCGGCTGCCTCTTGGCTGGCGCTGCTGTCACACGGTGGACTGTTCTGGCCTTACTGAGCTGCCGTTTGGGGACATCAGATTCAGGTCGTATGGGGAGAAACGAGTGTAACTTTACAAGGTGTGATATGGAGACCCTGGCCTGTTGCCCATTTCTGCCGGATCGAAGGCCACTAGGGTGGTGATAAGAGGGGTTCCGAGGCAGGATTTATGCAACATTTGTGCAAAATAGTAAATTTTATTTGCTTTTCATGATTTACGTTAAAGGGGGATTGTTGCCACTTTTCCCAAAGATAAAGAATCACACTGCTCTGGTGGGCCTACCCCCTCCTCACTGTGGTTAATTATCATTTGGAACATCAGGGTATATTTGAAACTGGCAGGACTCCCAGACCCTGATAATTGTCTGAGTGGAGGCAGCAGCATACCATTTCTCTGTAGTGTTTGGGTTCAGCTTTTCTTTGACTTTGTTTAGTTTTGTTTTTTTTTTTTCCCATGTCTGTTATCCTCACAATCTCTTTGGGGCTGGTAGAGTGCTGTTATTTGTTACTGAGAAAGGAAATGAAGGGATAAATCACTGAAGTGGGGATAGCTGTCCCCATTGCCCAGGAATTGGGTTGTCCTGCCCCGACAATTTAAGTTACAATTCAAACATGATTTTGAAAAGGCCATCCTTTTACCAACTGAAACGAATAACAGCCCCTGGCCACTCTATGCTAGTGGTTCTCCCACTTGGCTGTACGTTGTAATCATCTAGGGACCTTTTTAAAAAAAGCTGCTTCTTGGGCCTATTCCCACAGATTCTGATTTAATTGGTTGAGTGGGGCCCAGTTATTTGTATTTTAAAAAGCTTCCACGATGATGATTAATGTTCATGCAGGGTTGAGGACCACAACCTATCAATGTGTTCAATATTTTAAAAATAGCACTTAGTACGATGTGACTTACATAACTGATTTTATTACTTCTCCACCTGCCATGTAACCTCCATGAATACATGGGGCCCTGCTTTGGAAGAAGGGCAAGGGAAAGTCCAGATGAGTCAGCACTTTGGGCATGTGAGGCTGGGGGACATGAAGGAGGAATGGAATCTGTGGAAACAAGTCCTGCAGACTAGTGCCCCTGCTTCATCTTTTTTCAAGGATTGACCCTATTTGGTTAACCTGTCATTGTTGGGGTCCTGGATGGGTCTCCAGTTCTTCATTCTTTAGATCCTGCCCTGTTTCATGGTCTTACTCAGCATCCTATGAAATACAACGACTCTTTGCAAAGTTTGAAATATAAGCAGTTAAGTGTAGATACTTTCCATGTAAATCTGTGCTTTTGTCTCTTACTATTCTTCTGAAATATATATTCTGAATTAAAGTTCCAGAGACTTGCTGTGACTAGTACAATTACATTTATGTGGCTAACAGGTCAGAGTATTTAGGATAGGGACTGCCTCAGAAACTGGACAGTTTCTATGCAGTTGTCCTCTAATATATTATCTTTGTGAAATGGTTGCCTGAGAACATTAGCTCCCCAGAGGATAGGGTTGCTGTCTCATTTTCTTTGTTTAGTATTGAACTCAGGAATTTCATTTGTGTTACTGACAATTATAATTCCAAATGATGTAAGTGACTACTTTGTAATTCTCTTGTGAGATGGGGGTAGGAATCCTAATGGCAGTCTGGAGTTGTTGTTACAGACCTTAAAGAAGTTAGATTGGCCACTATGAGTCCTGAATATGGAAGTAGGCTTAATAAAAACTTGGCAGAACACTTCCAACAAATTCTGGGTTCCACATGTAAGGCAGAGCATGCATTTAACTTTTTGCTTGTCCTTTGCACGTATTAATAAAAATAAAGCATGAGTAAGTGGTGGTCTGACATTTGAAAACAGGATCACTCAAGTTTAGATTCCTTGAATAATAACTTTTAGATCTGTACAGATACCCCTTTTTTTCTGTAGGGGAAAACAAAATCATTGGATCATTGAACTACAAAATTATAATAGTTTTTAAGAAAAATAACATTTGGAGCTTTTATCTTTGGTTTATATTTTTTCACTTATATTGCTATTTATAAAGTTTTGACCTTCTGCCAAGGTCTGAGAGTGATTTACCAGGTTGAAGTTAGTGTATTTAAATAGACAATTACTATTTTTTATTAGTAAGGAAAAGGAAACGTTCCTATGCCCACTCCTCCCACTGTATCATGTATAACTCTCTGCCTGTAAAATTGAACTCTTAATTTCTAATGTTTTTCTTTACTTCATTTTCAATATCTTTAACCTTTATATCATATACATATTTTTGTTGCAGCAAGAAGAATTGTATAAAAATGAAAAAAACATTGATGTGTGCTTCAAATGTGGCATGAAAAAAATAAGGACCTCTGATCAAAATTGGCTGAGTTCAGAATTTCATGCTGGAAGGAATGTTAGATGTAACTTCTAATTTCTAGTTCCAGTAAACATCTCTTCTTGGAAAATTTCCAAAAGAGGTAAATTACATTGAATTATATATTTTTATTTTTTTGGTTAATCTGAGGAACTTTTTTCTAGAGTCATTCCCTGCCAACACTGTTGTTCTTACTTGATTTTAAGGCTCCTTGCAAATAGCTTTTTTGTTATAATGCGTAGGTTTTATGTTTATAGGAAAATACCAGAAACTTGTTATAGTTTGTTGTTTACACTACAGTCACCTCGTGCTGTGAATTAGGTTTCTTCTTTTACTTAGAAATCTTTCAGTTTAAGTTGAATTGATTTCACAGATATGATTTAATGCTCTGTTTCTCCTATGTCTCATCTTTAATTTTTACTTTTAGAAATTGGTTTTATTCTTTATTTTATTTATTTATTTTTTTGAGACAGAGTCCTGCTCTGTTGCCCAGGCTGGAGTACATTGGTGTGATCATGGTTCCCTGCAGCCTCGACCTCCCAGGCTCAAACAATTCTCCTACCTCAGCCTCCTGAGTAACTGAGACTATAGGTGCGTACTACCATGCCCAGCTAATTAAAAAAAAATTTTTTTTTGTAGAGTTGGGCTCTCACTATCTTGCCTCGGCTAGTCTTGAAGTCCTGATCTCCGCAATCCTCCTGTCTTGGCCTTCCAAAGTGTTGGGATTACTGGCGTGAGCCACCATGCCTGGCCCAGCTTTATTCTTTATATTTGTGATTTTCATTTCCCAGTGAAAAATTAGGACATACAGATAAAAGAGAAGACAAAAACTGCCTAGAGGTGACAACTATTAAAATTTTAGTGCGTATCTTTTCTTTTCTTTTTTTTTTTTTTTTTGAGATGGAGTCTCGCTCTGTTGCCCAGGCTAGAGTGCAATGGTGTGATCTCGGCTCACTGCAAGCTCTGCCTCCCGGGTTCACGCTGTTCTCCTGCCTCAGCCTCCCAAGTAGCTGGGACTACAGGTGCACACCGCCACACCCGGCTAATTTTTTGTATTTTTAGTAGAGAAAGGGTTTCACCATGTTAGGATGGTCTTGATCTCCTGACCTTGTGATCCGCCTGCCTCGGCCTCCCAAAGTGCTGGGATTACAGGTGTGAGCCACTGTACCTGGCCTATATCTTTTCAAAGAGAGGTCTGTCTCGTGTGCCTCACGCAACATCTATTTAGGTGTACAAATGTGATCTCTCAAATGTCAGTGCTCTACTTACAGCACAAAGTCAGGTCTTTTCCTGGCACGATCCTCCTAAATTATTGTCAGTAGAAGCCTCTAGCTGGGAGGGGATTCTTGCATTGCTCCCTCTAGTCCTGTAGTTCTTTCGCTTTAGAGTCTCCTGCCCTTGTCTTCCTTCTGCATCACTGGCAGCTGTGTGCTGCTGCTGCCTGGCTGAACCACTCTGATGTCCTTTAAATGGCTTGTGTCAACACAACCCATGACCACACCTGCCTATGGTGCAACTAAATTCCTGTGGACTACCATCTTTGGTCTTTTCTCTCTCTGGTCATCGTGGAAACCTGAATTTTTTTTTTTATTTTTTTATTTTTTTTTTATGGACAACTTTTTGAGAAGGATTTCGATAGCAGAACAGTTGGGACCCTGATGACAGAGTTATCCTCTATTTTGCAGCCAGCTTCTTCCAAGAAGTTATAGACAGTTTGAGGTGAATGAGTGCCTGAATATTGGAGAGAGGAGGTGTTAGGGGTCAGGAAATGGAGAAGCACAGTCTTTCACAGTTCCTGGCATCCCTGTGGAGGTGGCCAGGACTGGTGGATTTATTTCTTCTTAAAAAGGTACTAACATCTTGTCTAATATGAGCATAAGTTTTTCAAGGGGAATTTCTGGCATTTAGTACAGTGTGTGGTACAGAGTAGGCCTCCATAATTATTTGTTGCGTAGATTGTTGAATCATTGTGTACCATGTAAAGAACTAAGTACCTTGAGCAAATCAGAAAAGTATGATGCAGTATCATTAAGTTGCTTTTCTCTGATATATGGTTTTTTAAAAAAAATATAGTCATAATTGGTGTAGTCTAGTTTGAGAGATAAGAAATACAAATGGAGTGTGAGGGAGAAAAAAATACAAATAGAGATCAGCTGAGAAGTGAAAATATTAAGTACTATGGGAACTCTGAGGATGGAGAGCTTGTTGGAATGGCTCACCCTTGTCTCCTTTGTGAAGCTGATGGGCATTGTCATTGTGGTTGGGACTGGTTCAGACTGGTGAGGCAGAGGAGTGAGAGAATGGGGGCTTGCCAGGTCCAACACAAAGTGGAGGGGAGAGTTGATGCAGCTGAGCTGTTCTAAGATACTCTGCACCATGATTTTGTACCCTTTCTGCCTTTATTTCTGTGTCCTGCCCTTCATGGAACGTCTCCCTGGGGATAGAATACTAGGACATTTTCTGTTTACCTGTATCGAAATGGCAAGTGGAAAGAGCATTTGAATTTGTTACGTGGGAGAACAGTTAGGCACGACTGACTCTGAAGTCCCCTGCCTCTAGCAGGTGTGATGAAGGATTTTGGGATCCTGTTACCCATTTTTCAAGCTTGACTTCCCTCTCCCACATCTTCCAGGCAGGTGCGTGTCCTCCTGTGCCTTACTACTTAGCTGAGGGAGCATCAGGACCACATATGCGGTGGGGAGAGCTGGAAACCTAAAGAGCGTGTCGCGTCTCCTACCATACGTCTGTATGAGAGGGGTGGCACTTACTGTTTTCCAGAGAATGTCAGGATGCTTTGCACAGTATCCCAGAGCTCTTCATGAAAACAGTTTCCTCTTCATGTTCTTTAAGTGTGGGTAATGTAGCAGTGTTACATAATTTAAAGGGAAGGGGAAGGGAAGTGATTTTATTGACTGGTCTCTGTAGAAATTTAACAGTTACTTTTATTTCACAATTTCTGAGTTTGAAGGCATACTTCCTTGCTATCTTAAAAGTTAAAACCTAAATAGGCAATAGGGGAAATAATGTATTTACACAGAAGCCTGACACTGGAAAAGGAAACTTTGAGATTGTCTGGAAATGAAAAGACGTTACTGTGCTCTGTCTCTTTGCTTTCTGCTTGTGACTTTGGGCCTTAGATAAGGTTAAGGAAGAGGAAGTGTGATGTTTTTCCTCTCACCCCACCCTAGGCCATTGCCATTGGTGATGTTCTCTCATCTCTCCTCTTTGAAGAAAAATGTGCTTCTTGAATCAACTGCAGTCTCTCCTCTACATAAGAGCTCTTAAGGGTACTAGCAGGATAGAAGCAAATGAACTTGAAAGCTCATCTGCAGCTCAGAAAAACAAAGACATGGAATTTTAAAGAGTGAAGGTAGCATGGTGTTGGCCATGGGTGAACAAGACACAGCCAGACAATGTGGACCAATTTCTTCAAACTACGGCTTTTCTGCTGTCTGCTTGCAGTGTTGATGGTGGTGGTGCTGGTCATCAATGTTACTCAGGTAGAGGTGAGTACCCAGTATAATCCCTCATATCTAAAGGGAGCCGAATCTGGGGATTTGGGGCTAGCTAGCCTGGGAAAAGTTGGTTATCGGAAGCTTATCGTAGTCACAGTTCTTGTTTTCATTTATTTGGTAAGTATTTGCGTGCTCACAATGGTTATATACTGTGCTAGTCACCGAGGGTACAGTGAAGACGTTTCTTCACTTATGGCCTTTCATTCTAGAGCTCACATTATAAGTGTGCATGGAAGAATAGTAGTAATCATAATCACATAATAATAGTAATGATAACTGGAGATGGTGAAAAGTGCAATAAGGAAAGGGAGCTATTCTAGGATAGCTTTAGAGTGATAAAGAAAAAACCTCTTCAAGGAGGGGAACTTCTAGTCGACCCATGGGAAAAAGCTGAAGGAGTATTTCAAGGGAGGGAGTAGACGAGTCTGTTTTGGAGATTACTAGATGGTACTGAGGGGCGGGGACCATGTCTTAACTGAACCCCTCACAAGGGCCTGTTACTAAGAAGGTACTTAGTAGTGTTCCTTCTTCCCTGGCCCCAGCCCCGATGTGAACTTATATAACCAAAATTTATGGAGGAGTTTCTGTATAAAGGATGCTGTCCTTTTGTTTTGTTGGCTTGTGGTACTTCTCAGATTACATATCCAACTTAATTATGGCATTTCTTTTCTTACGGGGTTTTATTAGCATAAGGTGCTCTAAAAGTCAAGCCATAGGCTTTTAAAAAAATTTCTCCTGCTGGAATCAACTTTGTGGTTTTTAGCAGAACACCTAATCTCACTGTGAAATGGGCACACTGAAGTCCTGCAGATCTTTTTCTGTGCGCTATGAGTAAAATTTGTTAGGTACTTTGGAGAATGTGAAGTAATTCTGTCAAAGAGTCTGTTAAAGATTTCCTACTAGAAATAGGCTTAACATAAAAGCTAGGTATTTCTTCTTCTTTTTCTTTGCTTAAACTGTTCTTGCATGTTTTACTATATAAGACACTACCAATCCTACACCGATAGTTCCTTTACCTGGAAGCTGTTGATGATGTGTCTAGATATTTTAGAAACTCCTCTTTTTTTAAAGTATTTTTTTGTGGTAAATAAACATAACATAGAATTTGTCATTTTAACCATTTTTAAGTGTGCAATTGAGTAACATTAAGTACATTCACATTGTTGTGCAACCACCACCACCATCTATGTCTAGAACTTTTTCATCTTCTCAAACTGCAGCTCTTTACCCATTAAACAGTGATTACCTAGGTCAGGCGCAGTGGCTCACGCCTGTAATCCCAGTACTTTGGGAGGCGGAGGTGGGAGGATCCCTTGAGGTCAGGAGTTCGAGACCAACCTGGTCAACGTGGTGAAACCCCGTCTCTACTAAAAATACAAAAATTAGCTGAGCGTGGCAGTGCACGCCTGTAATCCCAGCTATTCCGGAGGCTGAAGCATGATAATCACTTGGACCTGGGAGGCAGAGGTTGCTGTGAGCCGAGATCATGCCACTGCCCCCCAGCTTGGGCTATAGAGGGAGATCATCTCAAAAAAAAAAAAAAAAACAAAAAACAAAAAACAATGATTACCCATTCTTGCCTACCCGCTTCCCCTGGCATTCACTCAGTTCTACTTTGTGTCTCTGTGAACTTGACAACTCTAAGTACCTTATACAAGTGGAATCATATGATATTTGTCCTTTTTTTTTTTTTTTTTTTTGTTTGAGACAGAGTCTCACTCTGTTGCCCAGGCTGGAGTGCAATGGCATGATCTTGGCTCACTGCAACCTCTGCCTCCTGGGTTCCAGTGATTCTCATGCCTCAGCCTTCCGGGTAGCTGGGATTACAGGAGTGTGCCACCACGGTTAGCTAATTTTTGTATTTTTAGTAGAGATGGGGTTATGCCGTTTGACCAGGCTGGTCTTGAACTCCTGACCTCAAGCGATCCTCCCACTTTGGCCTTCCAAAGTGCTAGAATCACAGGTGTGAGCCATCAAGCCTGGCCTGGTATTTGTCTTTTTGTGGTTGACTTCTTTCTGTTAGCATAATGTGCCTAAGGTTCACTCATGTAGCATGTTATCAAAATTTCTTTTCTTT